ATACTTTTTTGCCTATCTCTTGATGTACTTTGAATGGGTTTGCAAAACACTGAAATTGTTAAGTTTACATTATTTTTTTTGTGCCCGGCGGCTGAAGTCTGATAAACCTGCTTAAGAATTAATATTTAAAAATTCTTTACAATTCACCCTGGTAACTGCTATTTTTAATATTCTTCCCTAAAGAATTATTTTAATTCGAATTTGTTATAATTATTCATCGGTATTCTTCCAATGGCAAACTTATAATGAACTTGAAAACGTCCTCGTTGTGTTGTTCAAATATATGGTGATCCATGCTGTATTTGCCTACACTATTTCAATTATATTTCCGTTTTAATAGAAGCAAAGGAAGAAGAACATTAGAGCTGACAAGCAGAAATACATGGAAAGAGCTATCAATGAAAGAGGAAACAGGTGAAAGGAAGGAAATATGAAATGACTTCATGACACGATAAAGAAAATGACAGGGAGATATCGTGAATTAGAGAGACAGATCAAAGAAAAAGAAGTCAAGCCAATCAGCGAGATTCGAGTGACTTCTTACTCAGGTCAGCTCCATTGTATCCACTGGATATAGAATCGGCACACAAACCTTCATATAGATGTTAATAACGATCGAAGACATCAGGTTGGGTATCAGACAAACGTAGAGTTGGAAAGCAGCAGAATCTAGCAATTCATCAGCAGAAACACTAAAGTTAAACATCAATAAGATCTAGAAGTAACTGAAAATAGGCTTCCCACTCTACTCAAGATTTGAGAGGAGGAACAAGTGACGACAGACTGGAAAGAATGAGATCTCATCAAGATAGCAAAGAAAGGAGATCCGAGCAAATGTGAGAACTACAGAGGCATCGTACTGCTGTCAGTACCAGGAAAAGTTTTCAACAGTGTGTTACTAAGGCGGACAGATGACTCAGTAGACACATATCGTCGAGATCAACAGCCTGGATTGTGTTAGGATCGGTCGTGCAAAGACGACACTACGGATGATCTTTGAATAATCAGTTGAATGGAACTCGACACAATACATCAACTTCCTTGATTATGAGAAAGCATTTGACATTGTATATGGGATAACTTAATGGAAACTTCTTCGACACTATGGAGCACATGAGAAAATCGTCGATATCATTCAGAATTCATACGACGGACTTCAGTGCAAAATTGTTTATAGAGGGCAGCTGACAGACACATCCTAAGTGAAAATATGAGTCAGGCAACGCCTTTGCTCTCATCCATTCTCGTTCCTCTTGTGCTTGACTGGGTTCTGAAGACTTCCACATCTGACGGGAAGCACGGAATACAATGAACAGCTTGAATTCGACTAAACGATTTGGACTTCTCAGATGACCTGACCCTTCTATCCCATACAAACGAATAAATGCGGGTCAAGACAATCAGTGTAGCAGAAGCGTCTACAATAGCGAGCTTCAACACAAGAGAAAAATCAAGATATTCAAAAACAACACAGAGAAAACCAACGCAATCACACTTGATGGAGAGGCTCTGGAAGGTGTATGAACGTACACGTATCTGGGTAGCGATCAGTTAGTTGTTGAATATAAACAGATTTGAATCGATAAGAGTTGATTAGATTTTTATAGTTGAATTCATGAGCGAATTGAAGCTAGACCACCATGAAAAACATGGAAGCACTGGGCGGCCGTTTCGTCCACGATCTCGCCTCGCGAGGTATTTCCTAGAGTTCTAGTGAGAAGCAGTGACCAGTGAAGTTCAACCAGGTCTGTTGTGAGATAGTAACTCACTGAAATCATGGTTGGACGGTTGCTCAATTTTGTGGATTGGTCGAAGTTAGACATTAACACCGTTCGATGCTGGCTCAGTGATCTAGAAGTTAAGCACTCGAGAGCGAGACTGATAGGTTCTAGGTTTGAAACTCGCGAGGCGGGATCGTGGATGCGCACTGCTGAGGAGCCCCACAATAGAACGAAATGGCCGTCCAGTGCTTCCACGTTTTCTATGGAGGTCTAGCTTCAATTGACTCATGAATTCAACTATGAAAATTACTGAAATCTCCACAAAACCCCTTCTGATTATTATTGGATTATTAATATTGTTAGTCTTTGAAAATCAGTTCGCTTTGAAACTATTTTCAACCTTGAATCAAATGAAAATGGAATATTAAAATAACTGAATAATAGTTGAGTTACATATGCAGTCTTTCAGAATATAATTTGTAAAGTATGTAAATTATATCGCTGTGACTGTTCGACTGAATTACTATTATTTCTGGATAGACAGAGAATAAAAAGACGTATAAGTGATCAGTGGCATCGTCAACATATATGTTTGTATAATTTAACCAACATTTTTACTAACAAGATATAAGAAATACCCAAATAGTAATAATCAATTCTGATATTCGTTAAATCATATAAACAAATCTCTATATTCATATGAAAACAATGAAACCTATTTATGAAAACATGTTTTCATCACTTTTTGTTATCAACTCTATCTATTAACAAACGAAACTGATGAACAGATATGAAACAACTTTTGAACGACAAAATACTCTATGAATGCTTTCTTTAAACTTTGAGCGAAGAATAGGACAAAACGCGCGTCCTGGATTCCACTACTAGCCACTATCGATCTTTGCTAACAATGCTTGTGAATTAAGACTATATGCAGGCGATACGCACAGTATGCACATATGCCAATTAGAGACTGACCAGTCCTAAACGTCAATGGGAAGATTCAAACAAACAATACCAGTTGAATTAAAACTTCACCCCATTGCACAAGCAAGTGGCTATCAGGACTCAGTAGCTGAGTGGATAACGCGATGGCGTTTGAAGTGAAAGGTACTGGGTTGGAGTCCTAGAGTGAACATCAACTCTGAAATGCAGGTACATTCAGCTGACGACTCCCAAATAGGATGAAACGCACATCCTGTATTCCCTTGCTAGCCATTATCCATCTTTGCTTATAACCCTATTTTTCTTTTCTTTTTTTCTCTAAGAGAATAAGATCAATACTTAAATCCAAATGAAACTGTAGTTTATCAGCTCAAGTTATATTACATTAAAATCCGATTCTTTTAATCTTATTTTGTCAAAGTAACCTTAATCACAATGAATGTATATGCAACACCAGCCTTAAATTGTTAGATAATTTCTATTCAGTTATTTGGTGGCATTTTCATCGAACTTCTATTTATATACTATTTAATTATTCATGACATTGAACAAAAGAAAATGATTCTTTTGAAAAAGTGATAATCATGTTTCATTTGTAGTTTGTATTGTAACGAATCCAATAAAAAAAAGTATCAATGATCAAATGATATTTATATTTAAACTTGGTTTAGTTTACAATTTATGCTGACACATTTGATAAGATACTATTTAAATAGATTCTATTTTCGAGGTATTCAGTCACGTAAAGGGTGACTTGATATCAATGATAGTATTGAAGCTAATATTGTTCAATATAGATTATTAAGAAGATAATATGTGAATTACATTCATAAAAGTAAGTGATTCAGTGATAAATCTCATATGTATTCTTATGTAACAATAGCATGATCAATGCTAATTAGCAATCATGAACTAACGTCCACAATTCTCCAATAATTAAAGACAGTTACTCTTATACAACATTGGAACTTTCCATTTAAACTAATTTTGATGATTTTCAAAAAAAAAAAGAGACAAAAATGATGATTCAAGTGTAGAGTAATCAAATGTTTATAATTTAATGCTTTATTGAGATTATCTCACTGATTCTGTATAAAATGTTATGTTTTGATTGAAAAATTTCCTTATCAACACTTTTTTAGATATTAGAGACAAACTGCTAATTGAATTTGGAAAATATGGTAAGTATTAAAATAATTTTAAAAAGTATATGCTAATTACTGAGTTAATACAATAATTTGCTTTTATATAATTGATTGATCACTGGGTGGTGGTCAATCTCATGTATGTCAGACACGTATTAATGCAGATCGAATCCTATCGACCAAATTGCAATATGGTCACTAGTCTAGGATAGATCAGTGGTTACGTTTCTGACTGTGAAGCTGGGTGACATGGGATAGAAACCTTCAGGGAGCATCAGTTCCCTCAAGAGAATAGATATACATTACTGGCGAGTGTCGAGTAGCACGAAACCTAGGTTCAGTGGTTTCTTGTTGCTAACTCACGTTGTCAATCATACCTTGGGGCCAACAAAATATAGGTCATTTACATGATGTATATGATCATTCGGTCAACCAATCATAGATTTTGTTCGCCTACCTTATACCAACTATCGTAAAGATCCTGGCATCAATCATTTCCTAGTTTGAATAAGTGTACAGGCTATTATAATTCAGTTCTTCAGTATTTTATGTCGAAACTGTACCCTGACAATAGTATATTGGAAAGTAGTTTTTGCTGAATTCTCTTTATTTCTATTCAATGACAGAATTGGTTATGTTAATTGTGAAGAAGTCAACGGATATTTACTCATGGATCATTATTAAACGAACGTTATGAAATAGAACATACAACATCTAGTGAATCAAGTCAGATAATGTTAGTTAGAATTTGTCACTTTAATTAAATTTCTACTTTTAACAAATCTTAAAAGATGAATGGTATCGTCGATATCGTAAATTTAGAAATTCAATGAAATGTATCTCATTATCATTTATTCTTGTTCTTATTACTATTATTAGAAAACTACTTTGTTGTGAACTTGTTCTCAGTTTTATTTATTACTACAAAAATGTAAGGTTTATGATACTTTTATGATACACCATTAGAATATTTGTATATGAAGATTGTATTCATATATCTGCTTATTTACAAGTTATGTTCAATGAAAGATCAATAAAATTAAGGACAGAAGCATTTGAACAATTGTTGGTTATTATATTCTTTATATGTACAAATATGTTGAATCTAGTAGAAGACCAATCAAAATAATGTTATATCATTCACAAAATAGATAACATTTTAACAAATTACCATCCATAAAGAATTATTCTCGTCACATAATCATAAAACATTGAAGGATTAACAATAAATGTTTTTGTGTAAGAAAGGTAATGGTAAGCAAATTTTGATTACTTAATTTAATTCATTTAATATGTAATCCATTGATACTGAAAATGAGGTTTATAGTGCATTAATTCTGTGGATATTTTTTGTCATATCATGATAAGAGTTTTGGTAAGCTGTAACCAGTTAAATTTAATCCATGTCGGGTGCGAAATAGCTGTTCACTGCAGTCAATGCATCAGGTTTGAGTAATATCGTGAGTTGATTGAAGTGAGACATTTACAGCGTCGGATACTCGCTCAGTGGTTTTTAGGTTAAGCATTAAAGGTTCTAGACTGGATTCCTGCGTGTGATTTCATAAGTTCTCATTGGTTAGGATTCCTTTGATAGAACGGAATGGTCGAGAAGTGCTTCCAGGTTTCCAATGATGGTCTAGCTAGAATTATTTCGTGATTTAAAATTAAAACATTTTAATCAGTCACTAGATAACATAATATGTCATAATAAATAATAACTCATGGAGTCTAGATTCCAATATTTGGAACTATAATGATTCCTGAATTATATCTTTGAGAGTCTAACAGTTTCTTTAGAACAAACTTTGTTATTATTGTGCAATAAAATTATTTCTTTACAAGCTAAGCCATCGAATACTTATCCGATTATTGATTGAGATAATACTTTAGGATGAATTTCACGAAGTTGGATACAAAGCGGTGAAATGTGAAATGTGTTCATCCTCAGACAGAGTAAATTATGATTAATAAAGTTGAGAAATAAATTATAGAATAACGATTCGTTTGCTTTCTTGACTGTTATCTTTGACCCAGTCTTTGATTGCAAATATAGCATCAATCAAGTGATCTTCAGTTTTGGTTGTTCTATTATCAGTTTTAATAAGAAATAAAAACTGTTTGGTCACTTAGTCATTAAATCGTAATCATCATTGAATAATGTGTTAACAATGACAAAGTAAACTGAAGATTTAATCAATGCAACTGTCAGAAAAGTATTCTGGAAACATTGTTATTTTAATTGAGTTGCATTGGTAGTTTAGATCTTCTCATTGATGTTTAAGACTGTAATTTATCAGTCTCTTTTAGCATATGTGCATCTTTAACTGACAAGTTGCGAATAGGATGAAATGTGCTTCTTGGATTACAATGTTAGCCTGCATTTATATCTGTTTGTTATTTTAGTTTCATATTTTCTGAACAGTGTAATATGGTATACAGATAAATACTGAGATGTTTGGGCTGCATGAATGAATGGCATCTTTTAAATGAAAATAAACAGAAACGGAATAACTTTAATGATTAGTAACATCAATGTGATCTTGACAATAATTTCCTAATTGTGAGTAGTTTTCCTTACGGGAACATGTCATTCGAAGAACTATTGGAAGCCTGTATTTTTATCAAATAATAGGAGAATCTTCATCAGTGCACACTACTAAATCTACAAGGGAATTAACCAACTATCGTCTAGTTTTATTAAACACAAGCAGGCATCCAACGGTGTTAATGTCTAACCTTAACCAATCCACGAAATTGCGCGACCATCTTCCATTGTACTGTTGTAGATACCTGTCTCTACCCTACACGGATTAGCTCCATTGGTCACAGCTTTTTACTAGAACTCCGAGAACTCCCCCACAATGCTTGTCACTAGTGAGCACGTGGTAATTATCAATATGGGGTTGTAGAGATCTTTAACAGAGCACTGATAATTTTAAGCCAAGAGATTATCAATTCACTGTTTAAAGAAGAAGATTAGATGTTAATTAAATTGCATTTTAAATATACATGAATTTATTAATAACTTATCAGTGAGTAATCTAACCTTAATATCTTTGAATGGTTTAGTTGTGCAGTAATAAAATATATATACAAAAGGATTTGTGCTTATTGGGATATATCTAAAAACATATGTTAATTGCTAGATCTTTTTCTATTGCATATAAGAACTATTATTGTGATACTTGCGTCATGTTGTAGTAGAATACTTGTTATAGCGCTAGGGTTTCTTGTTATAACAGTCCTTTCACTTTTTACACCTGTCGGACGTTAATTTACCTTGGACGAATATCTACACTAGATTCCCTCCCAGTGTCTATTCTACAGGACTTCAATACAACTCAGATCAAGAACATGTGATTAGCCTGACTATAACGTCAATATATTTCCACATCAAAACCCGACACAATTCAACAACAAGAAACAGTCCATCAATAACAGTCAATACATAATAAGGATAGGGGAATATATAACACATATAACACCTGTCACACTATCTAAATGTCTGACTCAGCAAAACAACCAGTCATTATCATTCTTGCTCACACATCACATATAAAGTGATAGAAATAGCTCATTAGATTGCAAAAGTTTCAATAAAGATATGATTTCATTCATAATCAAACCTATTTTTTATGAAACGATATTAAGACCAAAGTGGTTATAAGTATATTATTGCTGAAAACCCATATTAAAATGTAATGATCAATTTCAAAGTTCGATTACCATCGAATGAAGGATAAAATACACAGGCGGTTTGAACTGTTGTCATTACACAAATCAGTACAACTAAAAAGAATCTAGCAATAGTGTACAGGGAATAAATTATATTTTAAAACAATTAGTCCCTTTGATAAATTTCGATAATGCAATGAGAAGACGAAGTTTATCAGAATTATGTGATATATTAGCGCAATACATTTCGAACAATCTGATCACACATATACTTGTTAAGACATTTTTTATATGAAAATTAAAAGGTCAACTAGACAGGTTAAGGTAAGAAAATAAATAAAGTACACAAAAACAATGTGATGACTACTCTGGATAATAAATAAGCATTACCAGGGTTGGTTAAGAGTAAGAACAAATTGTTTTTGGAACGCATTAAGGGGGTTCCAATTTCCGTATAGCCAAGGCTTCAATAAACCTTAGTATACGTCCTTGAAGGCTTTTGTACAACACTACAAATGCTGATTTGATGTCAACCTTATGACCAGTTTCAACTAAATGTTTCGCAATAGAGGAAGATGTTTGTCTATCCTGTGATCTTATTTGTTTATTTTAAAAGAAAGTTTTTACAAACCTTTTAATTCATAAACTAAAAACAATAAAATCGACTCGATAATGTCTCGTTTTTAGGATAAAATACTCTTTATGCGAACGGCACTCCGCAGGAATGAGTGTTTCTGACAACCTAGATGAAAAGATTCAAATTTTACATTATGTTCTAATCGTAGATCGAAATTCAGTGATTACCACTACTCAAAATAATTTGGTTTATGATAAATTACAACTGATATGGTTTTATTGTTTTCCGATTTCGATGCTTCTATGGTTTTCCTTACTTTGATACTTTCTGCTGGAAATGCATAATATAGAATTATCTGAGACTAAACAACAATGAAAATAGTCATTATACCTATTCGATAAATATCAAGGATATGATGATTTGGGACGATTTACAAAACGAGTTAACATCATCAGAGATATCACTTAAATTCATATGACACAAAATAAATGTTATGTAAGGCTTAAGGATGATCCTAACAGCTGGAAATATTCAATAGTCTTTAAAATAGTAAAAACTGATAAGTTTGCTTTAAATTATAAATATCTACTTTTTATCTATGAATTTTTAAATTACATTTTTAGTTAATTCCAAAAAAAACTAGTGGTCATGTTTTCCAATGGCTTATTTTACGTTACGTTACGTTACGTTACGTTACGTTACTTACTTGCTTACTTACTTACGCCTGATACCCCCAACGGAGCATAGGCCGCCGACCAGCTTTCTCCAAACCACTCTGTCCTGAACCTTCTTTTCTAGTTCTATCCAATTTTTGTTCATTCTCCTCATGTCTGTTACCATTTCTCGGCGTAATGTGTTCTTTGGTCTTCCTCTTTTCCTTTGGCCTTCAGGATTCCATGTGATGGCTTGTCTTGTGATGCAGTTGGGTGATTTCCTCAATATGTGTCCGATCCACTTCCAACGCTTCTTCCTGATTTCTTCCTCCACTGGAATTTAGTTTGTTCTCTCCCACAATAAGGAACTCGTCTTTATAATAATAAAGCTGAGTTCCTTATTTTACATTATCCAGGTAAAAAGAAAAGCATTTAGTCATGACAAATTTATGGTTGAAAAATAAACGGTTATTAGAAATTATCTCTTGTTTTCAAAAAGTAACACATTTTGCATGAGATAAACTTGAAATATTTAGAGTAAAGATATGTAGCATCAACTTTTCCTTCAATTGATATCAAGTTCATACAAGCATTAGGCTATTCAAGAATAATATTAGCTGTCATCTTGAAACTCTTTTTCTTCAGTAGTAATCTACGTTTTGTCAATTAAGATAAAATATTTCTGTATATTGATAGAAATTGTTTATATATGGTATTTTATTATTAGGTGTAAACAGTAGAGTAAAGTTAATTATATTATGCTGTGTATGCATATGGACTTTAATTATCGTTTCAAAACTCATTATTCATAATCAACCTGAATTAACACAAAAAATGGATAAATCGGAAGAAATTCCAAAATTATTTGTTGATGATGATTCACGCAATCTACCATTGATATTTATTGGAGGTCATCAAAGTTCAGGTAAGTAATTTCATTACATTACAAATTATTTTTTTGTGAATGGTAGTACCATACAAATCACCTTTATTGGTGTAGTGAATTTAGATGACCATTATTTCTAGTTTGACATTATATCAATAAGCCATTCATTTATAAGTAGTGTTATCGCATTTACCAAATGAGTATTGTATTCCACACAAAACCTATTAATTTACACTCTACCTTTAAGAAAGAAACACTAATTGATAATTTACTAAATATGGGGAATGATAAAGTGTGCTTATAGTGCCAACACCTTTTTTCCACCTAAGTGTTTAGAAATGTGTTTATTATATGATTAGTTTTGGATCCATTTATTTAGTTTGATTGTAAATGGTGGTAAAACAATAGAAATCTACTACGTCCGACCTTAAGAAACGATATCAAATAACTTACAAATATTTAAAACAATTCTAATTGTTTATTGTGCTCAAATTTTATGTAATGGACTTTGAGATACACCTTTTAATACATGAGTAACGATTATACTTCCCAAAATTTCAACCGGAAGTCACCACTACACTTAAATTACTCAAATTAATCGTGTCTGTTTAAGTTAAACCCAACTTATCTATTTTAACACAAAGACCATTTTCTAAACGGAAATTTAGGGATAATTTCGTTGTCTATTCAATTTACTACTTATAAACGTCACACCTTATCAGTAACCGAGGATGAATATGACATTTTTGAGAGAATTCGTATTTTAAGCACAATGAGTTAAATAGACGTTAATTAGTTCAACTGTGGTTTTCTTCATCTGAATTACAATAATATTAACATCTCAAAGCCATTTCTTTACATTAACTCAAGCTCAAACCGAATTTTTCAGTGTTACTAATAAAGTATAGCTCTAGAAAATGGAATTCTCCAAATTATCTCATTTTCATTAACTGGCATAAGTATTCTAATATCATAAGTGACTAATAATATGATAATAATAATAACTAAATTCTGATAACTATACAGCAAACAATTAATTTGCAAAATAACAACCATTTGTCTCAATCTTCACTGTTCCTTCTGTAAATATTAGTTCATCTTCTCTAATTTCAATGTTCATGCATTTTCCTACCAATTGCGCTCCATTTCAGTTCTTTCCTTATTGGTCTTCTGCCAAAGTACATTCTATGTCTGACCATCACCATATACTACACATGAGCGATGCATTAATAAGAGGCAAAATAAATTTCAATAATAGTTATGAATTTTGTATTCATAGTATTACCGGTAATAAGCAGTATAAAATAAACTACGAGGGGCTAAGAAAGTGAAATAACTTGAATATTATGTATGTTTTTGTTTAGTAGATGATGTGTTATTTATTTGGAAGGAACATTATATAGTTTAATCCTTAAAGTCCAGATTGATTTCCTCATTACTTTTGTGTTCGGTAGTTAATGAGAGTGATTGTTATTGTTCAGGACTCCAATGCATAAAAAGACTGTAAAATGCGTTCATTTTTCTGAAGAGAACTTAGTTAAATAAAGTAGCATTCACATTTGTGGTCAGGTAGTGTGGTGTATGCTACTGATGTCAATAGGTATAAGTAGTACGTAACATCAATCAAAAGTGAAATACCTGGTGGTAAAAGGTTAAGGAGATCGAAAAAAGGATAACGAGAACAGAGAATGATTGCATAGGCCGCTGACCAGCATTCTCCAACCCACTCTTTCGTGAACCTTCCTTTCTAGTTCTATCCAATTTTTGTTCATTCTTCTCATGTCTGTTACCATTTCTCGGCCTGATGTGTTCTTTGATCTTCCTCTTCTCCTTTGGCTTTCAGGATTCCATGTGAGGGCTTGCTTTCTGACGCAGTTGGGTGCGTTCCTCAAAATGTGCCCAATCCACTTCCAGCGCTTCTTCCTGATTTCTTCCTCCGCTGGAATCTGGTTTGTTGTCTCCCACAGTAACTTGTTGCTGATAGTGTCTGGCCATCGGATCCGAAGTATTTTGCGTAGACATCTGTTAATAAACACCTGTATCTTCTGAATGATGGACTTTGTAGTTTTCCAAGTTTCCTCCCCATACAGTAGAACTGTCTTGACATTTGTATTGAAAATTCTGATCTTAGTGTTGGTTGACATTTGTTTTGAGTTCCAGATGTTCTTCAATTGTAGATATGCTGCTCTTGCTTTGCTGATCCATTCCTTCATATCTGCATCAGATCCACCGTGTTCATCGATGGTGCTGCCCAGATATGTAAAAGTCTTTACATCCTCCAAAGCTTCTCCGTCAAGTGCGATTCGATTGATGCATTTTTTGTTGTATCGGAGAGTCTTGCTTCTCCCTTTGTGTATATTGAGACTTACTGCTGCTGAGTCTGCTGCTACACTGGTCGTCTTCTACTGTATCTGTTGTTGTTGTGTGTGTTAGAAGAGCCAGATCATCCGCGAAGTCTAAATCGTCCAGCTGCATCCTAGCTGTCCATTGTATCCTGTTCTTCTCCCCAGATGTTGATGTCTTCATAGTTCATTCAGTCGATCATCAAGAGAAAGAGAAAGGGTGACGTTTCGTCCTATTATGGGACTCCTCAGCAGTGAGCATCTGCTGAGGAGTCCCATAATAGGACGAAACGGCCGTTCAGTGCTTCTAGGTTTTTTCTGGTGGTCTAGATTCAATTGACCCACGCTTTCAACTATGAAAATACCTAATATTAGTTCACTATAAAGAAATCCGAGTTGTTTTAATTATCATGCAAATTTCATATAACATAGCACACGAAAATTATTGCAGGAAAAACTATTTTTTTTAACAGTAGACAGTGATTATTTATAATCAACTTTTGAAGAAAAATTTTAAGAATTATGTCAATTTATAATGTTAGATTGTATTTAATCAACTTCACTCACAACAAAAAAAGTCACTGAAATTCACAAAATGTTTAAAAACGGTTGCTTGAATCTTACATACATGCATACTTACTTGAATACGTACCTTCAAAATAGCACATACATCAGTAATAAGGTATTTCAAGGTCCTAGTCGGATTTGCTTTGCATTTAGAACGTGAATATTTAAAGCTTCATGTGAGGTTTCGAAATAGCTGAGTTATATCTGGGACAGTTTTGATAAGTTAATTGTTTGGTAACCTTAAACAATATACGAAGACAGAAATTTCTCAGAGTGTGTAAGTGAATCATCTGGCCTAGTGACTACAATACATTTCGTAATTTAACAAACGTTTATTCACTAGTGTAAGATAGCACAAAATAATTACTGTTTGACTACCGCGTTTAGTGTCTTGCATGCAATATACTCAATAAATAACACCCTGAATAATGTAATCATCCTTGAGACATAAAAAGTGTTTAACAAATTCAATTGAGAAAATACTCAAATTAATTAAATTGTCAAAAAAGAACAAAATTAAAAACGAACCTGCTAATTTCAGATAAACAAAACCCGCCAATAAATTCACCAGATGCTAATTTCGGTAAATAATACGTCTTTTGTTCCTTTGTTCCAAGTAAAGATATTGTCTAGAACAAAATGTAGTAGTCACAAAATTAGTAGCATGATTAATATGAGTTGTATTCGTTACAGAATGATCCCAATTGGGGCATCATTCGAAACCTGGAAGGACTAGATTTATGTTTCATTCTAGTACGGGAATGCTCAGTAGTGCGTACTCATGTTTTATCACAGATCTAACTCAGGACCACTCAGTCTTCCAGAGAATACCTAACCATTAGAAACGTTATGTCAAACAGTTAGTTGAATAGCGGCTTACTTCGGGTTGTACCTGAAATTCCGATTTCAAGTTGTGACTAGTGGAGTTTGGACAAGTTGAAAGTGAAACAATTTTCATCAATAATATTTAATGTTTGTCGCGCTGTATCCCAAATTCCTTAAAGTTGAAATTCAACCATTGAACACCCAAACAGCAGATATAATGATAGAACGTTCACAGCGAGACCAGGTCTTGAGTTATATCTTTGATAACTTTGATATCTTTGATAACTAGGAACAATCTACGACGAATAGAACCTTGAAAGTGAACCAACTTCTACAAAACTCATTCAACTGAACATTACTAATGATTAATTCCACTTATATTTTAAGTAATTATAAACAAGTTCGAATTACTTTTAACTAGTCAGATGCCTTTCTCAAACAAACAGTATTATTTAAAACAATAAACAAACATGTATTTAGTTATCAAAGGAGCATCATAAATTAATGAGAAAGGGATTACTCTACTGGAACATACAAAGAAATATTCTAAAATGAACACACTTATCAATAAAGTAAAAAACTGTTTTCATTGTATAAATCATATATAAGGCATTTAAATAGAATATATTGGTTATATTGGATATCAATAAATTCACTAAAAATGATTGAAGTAATGACAGTAATGCGTCTATTGGCAATATAAAATTAAACACATTATTACATAACACTTGTTTGATTGCTATCACGGACCTTCAAACGAGATTATCATTTGTACGTATCAATATCAGGGTTGAACTTGATAGTTTCAAGTAAATCGAACATTGAGTATAAATTTAATAATAAACATATATTTTCATGATATTCCAATTAGTAAAAATTGTATTTCTGGGGTTTTGTAACTTGATGAATGCTGAATCTTCAGAGTAAAACAAGCATCGGAAATACTACTTTCTACTAATCATTTAGATATTACAAAAATATATTTATTATCATTAGTAAGTTTCTTTTTAAAAAATCAGGAGGCATCTATTGGTTTAGTAACGGTTATGTTTATAAGAAAATACAAAGATCACATCATCCTACGATTAATGCTATTATGCTTAGGTGGCAAGGAATCGATGAGAAACCGCGAAATATAAGTTCATATTATTCTGTTACGTCAGTGGTTCTTTTTTAGTCAAACTGAACATATATAATTGATATAATTGAACCGTTTCTAATATTTCTTCTTGCATGTTTATATTATCGCTTATTCTTTTCAACTTAATTATTAGGTACCGGATTATTACGTATTCTACTGGATGTTCATCCAATGATTCGGTGTGGTCCAGAACCAATAGTTACAAGAGAAATCTTAGAACTTAGACGAAGGAATACACAAAAACGTGATTGGCTTTCACAATCTGGTATCACAGAAAATTTACTTGATAAAGCTGTTTCTGGTTTCATTGTATCAATACTAAAGGATATGGGACCACCTGCTGATAGATTATGTCATAAAGATCCTTCATCTTACATATATCTAAGTGATTTAGGTGAATTATTTCCGAAAGCTAAGTTTATTCATGCAGTACGTGATGGGAGAGGAGCTATAATGTCTACAATAGTGTACGTTTAATCACTTGTGTATGCGCAACATATATCCGTCATTACTTAAAAACATGAAAACTAAGACACATAAACATAAAATATTCCCGAAAGTTATCAACGCTAATGTTGAATTGATTATAAATAAACAAGTTTCATAAGGCATCTGAGGGAAAGCGTAGTATACAATTGACAGCTCAGAATCAATTAGAAAATTTAGACTTCGCAGATGATCTAACGATTCTATCCCGTACACACGAACAAATGCAGATGAAGACAACTAATGTAGAAGCAGTCTTTGCAACAGTAGGCCTCAACATACACAAGGGGAAGAGCGAGATCCCCAAATACAACACGATGAACACCAACCTAGTCACACTTGATGAAGAACAATCCATTAAATGCACTACTTGCACATCTTCCTTGAATTATCCCTTACAAAAAACATCACTCTTTCATTATCTCGATCGTTTACTGTTCTCACATTTTCATTTTCCTCTCCGGTAAGAATTCTACTTCCAACGTCTGACACCTACTACTTATATCTGTCCATCTAAATACCGTAAGCCACATTACCACTATAAAATCGCTTGCTTGTTCTCAACTATCTTACATTCTGTCATATGGTATAATTCATTGCCATATCTTCAATCACTACCTTACATAACAAAGTAGTGGACGCGATATCGAGTTATTTAAACTTGTGGCCACATTTCAACTCGATCCATAGAATTCAATCGACATTTATAAAGTGTGGTAGTCGGTATTCAATATAATCCTTAAACTTCGTATACAGTTCGTCCTGATAACCGTCACTAGATAACGCCCCAATGATGTATTATTGAGAAGGCGAATACGAAGTGTTGATTACGTTTATAATTGCACCACGCACAGATCACCAAAATTACAGACACGCTAAGCAAGCATGAAAGAGTAGAGCTGAAAAGCATGCGGCAAGTGAGTGAGCGTGCGATTCAAATGAGCGAGTGAGTGAACAGGATTAAAATGTACATATATATACACAGTGAAATAAATGAATAATCGAATCAATTAAGCGACTAATAGTCAAGCTAGCCGAATGAACATATGTGGAGGAGGTAAGCAATGTTCAAACATACATATTCACACAAGTGCAAAAATAATAATGGTACAGTGCTATAAATAAGCTGTTATTGTACAAATGACCGTCTGTTAAATAAGTTAACAAAACGGCTTAACAAAATTAAATGTGAACAAACTCAAATGTACGTGAGCTGCTATAAAGGATTTGACATCCATGACATTGTTCATTAAGCAATGATTAATCTATCAGAAATTATATAAGCTTGAAACAGACCAGCGATAAAATTCAATATTGCGGAACTAGATAATACTGTGTTAAACCATTAAGAAGACAGAACTTTTGTGATACTTACGACTGATGTCAATGTCAAACATGTAAATAATGATATATAATATGAACAAATTGACATTCACTATATGACTATTTAAATTTTTTCCGATTCAGTATAAATATATTCTACAAATAGTACTTTTCTAACCAGGTTTTGAAAATACCGGCTTCATGAGTGTATCTTTTTGAAATGGATAACTGAAATAAGACAGTGGTATCAAACAATGTGTAATTCGACGAAATACGTTACATTCAGAAATAGTAGCGGCTACTTTTCACCAAGTAGAAAGTCGGGGTGGATTAAATGCAATTACATTTTAATTGTAATTCAAGTGTTAATATGCATATGGTTCATCAAAATTTGTTGTTGAAGATTTATAATTCACAGTGAATCAGGTCATAATGTTCGTAGGGATTTGTTCTACTAAGGCAGTTCTCTACAGTGACTTAGTTGATAATGCCTTTTGTATGAGATTAATTCATCCAAGAATATAGTCTCTTGGTCACAAATATTTAGTTAAGAGGGGATGTTTCTTTAGAAATTTTTATATAACCAGTTTTTCATTAAGATTTCCAAGATGTAATCTTTGACTGGTTAATAATTCATCTGTCAATAAATAATGGAGACAAGTACATGTTATTATTATTATAAATTTACGTTATTTCAGTCGTAATATCAATCCAAAATATACTTCGGATGATATTCTTGGAGCACTTGATCAATGGAAATCCTTTACATCACAAATAATAAAAGACTGCCAACACATTGGAAGCCATCGATGTATGACTGTACGTTATGAATGTCTAGTCATAAACCCAAAAAGAGAGATTCAAAAAATCCTTAGTAAGATTCAATTTAACCATATGCTTATATGAATATTTTACAACTAACAACGCAAAAAGAAATTACTTTGATTCATTAGGAAAATGTGGAACAATTATGCATTTTTATAACACAATATTCTTTATTTTAAGTCTCATAATGAGGGCTGATTTCGATACTACATTGACGTCTTTTCTAATATTTGATGCAATCTCAGTTTGGTAATTAATTCTTTGATGTTATTTAATTTAACCAAAAGACTAGTTTCACCATAAAATGACAGTGATTACGAAATCTAGTAGCTTATATACTTTTAAGGTATTGGATCAGTACTGGAAAACACTTATTTGCTGAGTTATTCAAATGTTTCAGAATTTATTAAGCAATGAAGCTGAGAAGCTAATCTAACATAATCAGCTAATATCTTGATATAAATATAGAATTTAATGTTTTATTTCACTGTCAGAGAAAAGACTGTTATCTTTATAATTGTACGATTACATCGAATGCTTCTACTTTTTTAGATTTTCTGGATATTCCATGGGATGATAAACTATTGAATCACGAACAATTCATTAATAACACTTCTATGATAAATAAGTAGGTTCATAATGATTCAAATTATGATCAAATAATTTCATTATTTAATGGTTGTTAAACATCTGAATATTTTTGTTCTGTATTCATTTATATGTAGTCTACCGTTGAAAATCGGAATTCAAAAAAATTTGCAAAGGAATTGGTAGGCGTTTTTGCTGATGATGTCGTTCAGAAGAACGATGAAAGCTCCACGACCAAACCATCCAGCTCAGAGAACAAGAATTCATCAGAAATCCATTCAATTCTTTATCAACAATGATCTATAGTGTCGCCATTTGGTCTGTGCACGATCGGTCCTTACGGAATCCGTCCTATTGATCTCGAAGTTGGGCATCTACTGCGTCTTTCATCCGGTTCAGCAATACTTTGTTGAAAACCTTTCCTGGTTCTGGCAGTAGTGTGATTCCTCTGTAGTCCTCACAGTTGCTCAGATCTCGTTTCTTTGGTAACTTGATGAAGTGTCCGTCTTTCCAGTCTGTCAGTAGCACTTATACTTTCTCCCAAATTTTAATGAATAGAACGTGTAGCATCTTTGTAGTTACTTCTATGTGTGACTTCAGTGCTTCATTAGGTTTGTTGTCAGGCCGTGTTCCTTTTCGACACTTGATTTCTTCGATCGTAGGTCGAGCGACAGCAATAGGAACGTCCATGTGTTTTCTTTCGATGTTCGGTGAATTCAAAGTGTTGTAATCATCTGTTTCTCTCCTCTTGAATCTTAATGGTTGGCTTACATTCGTTGTCCTTGATCTGTCTTTCTGGCTCACTATATTTCCCTGCCACTTTCTTCATATATCTCTATAAATAAACACAAATAAGAAACATTTATTTTCCCCCCACAAAAGCATCATCAAGTGTGATCATTAGCAAAAATTGAATTATTGCTTTAAGTAAAAGCTGTATTATAAAAAGCCTGTTCCCTACCATAGAATTTAACTTCTACACTCATCATTCAACTATCCCTTGCTGTGTTGATAAAACACTTGGTATAATACATTCAATTTCTACACATCCATAGTAAGTAAAACCATACAGACTTCAAACTCTATAATCTGTTTCTGGGATCGTGGATAAAGCAACATCAGAATTGTCTTTTACTAATTATTATTCACTGACTACATGTTGAATCATATGTTCCACAAATCTTTCCAATATTTTTCCCCAGTATCTGAAATGTTCAAATTATGAATAGAGGCGAGTAGTTGAGGCGTTTCATGTAATACTAAATTCTTCTGCCTTCAATAGGAAGGAAATCATCCAACCTAGACCGTTTATCTAGATAGCTACATCATTCACTTATCGCACCATCAATACATACACATGAATTCCAAATATGTTCCTTCACATTACAAAGTGTAAAATTACAAACCCACTAGCATACACCCAAATACACACGGTGATATCGCAAACGGAATCACCTTGACCTAAAATGTCATAATTAGGCGCATTATGACTTGATCGAGATAAATATTCTACCTGTTCCTCTATACTACTTAATTCGGTTAATTATTTCTTTACTATGAAGAAGTGGCTTTGACTAAGTCACGAAGCGTCAGGAGTTCTAATTTCTACGCATTAGAGCATCACAAATATATCACTGTCTTATTACTAAATTTGTAGATACTTCTATGTGTAACTTCAGTTTCATCTGGCAAGTTGTCAGGTCGTGTCGCTTTCCCACTGTTGATTTGTCTGATGACCAACCTGATTTCTTCAATCGTTGGTGGGGTGAAATCCACAGGAGTATCTGTGTGCTATTTCGATGTTCAGTGGATTCAATTCAGCTGGTCTATTCAAAAGTTCCTCAAAGTGTTTTGGTCACTCGTTATATATATATTTGAAATCGCGAGGTATTTTGAGTGTGTGGAATCGGTTAGAGAACGACTGAAAATCACAGAGCACTGCCAACTCCAGCCTAGTTAAGCACCCTTCATGTACTCAAAAAAAACAGAAAGTACATCTATTTTAGACATTCATATATACAAGCTGCCCTACATATTCACATCACATTCCGATGGTTCATATTAGAAAACTTGAACTCTAAATAACTGAAATTAAACTAACGATCAAGCGGCAATTCATGTTGACATATTTCACTGAATTGTGTGATAGATATTTTCTTTTTTTACCTATCATTTCAGGTATGAAGCTAGTTCAGTTCAATTTGTTAAGCCTATACACAAAGAATCTTTAGATGCTTGGTCTAAAATTAATTCAATAATACCTAGAAATCTTATTGAAACTATGCATAAGAATAATAGTCTGTTAGCTAAACTTGGTTATAACAGTGAAAAAATTCCTCCAAATTATGAAGAAATATGTGAGGTTGATTTAAAATTATAAATAAGAAAACTTAAGAGGAATACTTAATGCCTATAAAGGAAATCACTTATTTTGTTCATTTATTTAGTAATATCTGTAAATTATACTTGTAACGATATAGATTTATTTTCAATGTGTTTTTTGACAATGATTATTGTGCAATAATTCTACATTATTTGTTAATGGCATTCAAAGTCATAAAGTTCGGGAAATTGCAAATATCAGTCAGTCACAATGTAGAACTTCGTTAGTACGTACACCAGTTCGAGTTGTCATGTCACATTAACACAGAGATGTAGTTGTCGATTCAAATCCCATAGTGATAGAGATAGTAAAAGTATAAGCAGTAATTGGAAAGATTAAGGTTTGAAGTTGTTATTCAAGGAGTATAATCTAGTGAAATAAATTTGGAAAGAGAAAAAAGAAAGGGACATGCAAAATTCAGAAGATTTGAGAGAACACAAAGATTGGATGCATCTTCGCCACTGCAAACGATTTTGAGCCATGTCACTGCAAATGTACCAAATTGATAAACGTTCTTTTTCTTTGCAAAATAAATTATTCAATTCAAAAGACGAAGTCATAATTAAAGTATATACTAGCAATGAAATGCGAAATGAGTACGTTTAAGACTATAGATTAAAATGTAAGACTGAAACATTAACTGTAACTCTGGTGAATCTGATCAGACGAATGCATACAATAAAATAACCATTCGTTTTTTTCTTAGTAGTACAACTTAATTTACGTGATAATCAGGTTTCAGTTGAACTGGAAATTGATTTTATTAGAATTAGCACCAGATGAAACCGCATACGCCGAAGCAGTGTTAAAATTCCGTTTGCAGCTTGGTGTTCATTAGTGGGATAATAGAGTAGTGATATTATTTTCAACGTTTACAAAATACGTCTACACTCCAATAAACTTATAATACCATCCTTTATATCAATATCCCATTCTATTAAAACCTACTTATCATTTACCTTAGAAGATCAAGCTCCTTTAGTTATGAAACATGAAATATAGCCCTGAACAAAAAGTTAATAAATGATTTTTAGAGATATTTTTATCATTAATTCAGTCCTACCAGCCATTAATCAATGTTCAAACAGTGCAAGTGTTAACGTTTCCAAAGGTAGGAAAGAGCGAAATACGTTCATACATAGATGTATTGTATGGATTTATGGCTCCTACTAAAAATTCAGATATCTTATGTTCATGACTAGCAGCTGTTAAGAAATATGAGATAGTTGTTTGTAACCAACTAATGTCTAAATCACTATTAGTGTTCAATAAAATTTGATATTTAAGTATGAAATTTATTACATTTCAAAACACGAGATCATTTCTATAAAGGCTTCAAATAGTACGGGAAATAGCTTACGAAAAAATCGCTTTAAACTAATGAAATATTTTATTTTCAGGATTATAGAAACACATGAACTAGGCAAAACAAATCTGCCTGACACATTCACGTAATATTTGTAAATGTAGCGTTTAAAGTATACGTTTTTCGTGAAAATGTACCAAGCAATGATCGAAATATTTATCAGGAAAATAATGTAATCCGAATGACAGACTGATTCAGCCTAGAAACAATGTCTAAAGCATCGAAAAGAGATGAGGATTCGATTATCAAGGATTAAAAATCATATCATATATATGGAAATTACATGGCAGTGGATTCTAATGTATCCATTCACTTATGACCGTGGTATAATTTTTGCATCTTGTAAAATGAAAATTTGATAAAATTTCATATACATTCATTGAAAAAAATAGTAACCCAAGCTAAACAAATCAGCGACTTCTTAGACGGGTGACACGTTTTGGCTTGCCTGCCAATAACTTCCTCCCAACCTAAATGTTGAGGAGACAATATCGTGCACTGATGGCTTGATATACATAGTACATGTTCCAAACAACTTAGTCGAAGAAGATTCAATCTCATCAACCGGTTTACATCATTGCCTAGTACACTGTGTCAAACTTCAATATTGTTTCCTTGGTGGTCCCAACATACGTGAGCAATGCTTCAAAGACATCTACAAATACATTTTACATTTGAAAGCTAAGTTCAACGGTCGTCAGTTGAGACAATTAAGAAATTGTCTTCACAAAAAAGTGTACACCGTATTCGTTAACTAGTTAAATTTAACCATGATTTGCACATGGGCAGAAAACAACCAAACTACAAGAACTGTGTAGAAATAGTTCAAATATACTGAATTTTTAATTGCTTAGAATAATGTTGAGATAACAAAAACTTTAAATACATTGAACATAGGTCGTTAGATGAAAAGGAAGAACATTCAGTAAAGAACAAATACAAATACAATAGGTTCTCACATTTTTCTTGATAAAACCTTTCAGAAATCAGTCTACGTAGAAAAAAGGCCAAGAATAAAGCTGGTTTACAAAGAATGAACAGAATGCAAGTAAAAATACAGTCATTTGAAAATGCTTAGTATTATGTCAAACTAAAATCTGAGGACGCAAAACTCCTTATTGAACAAATGTTATTTCATTGACGCAGAATGATCCGTTATAGGGCTGACGCCAGCAACGTTCTCAAGGCGAGTACGTGTACTCGATATAACATTGGTAGTATCCGCCACTATAATGCAAATACACGTAAAAATATTTCTTTATTTAAATCATCAAATTTCAAAGACTTGAAAGAAAGGATAATAATGATAATATGGTATGCAGTGCCAATTAACGTAGATAATCTAAATTAGTTACCTGTATATCAATAATATAGAACGATGTTAATCGATAGTAATTAAACTTGGTCAGTACACAAAGTTATAAGTAATTTATATTGACTGTGAAGCTGTATTTGTAAACATCCAATATGAGTAACAGAATACTTACTTACGCCTTTTACCCCTCGTTGAGACGTATAGGCCATCCACCAGCATTCTCCATCCAACCCTTTCCAGCTCTTCCCAGTTAACATTCATCCTTTTCATATCTGCTTCTATTTCCCGACGTAGTGTGTTCCTTGGCCTTCTTCTTTTCCGTTTCCCTTCCGAATTCTAACTTAGGGCTTGCCTCGTGATGCAGTTTGGTGATTTCCTTAATGTATGTCCTATTCACTTCCAATGTCTCTTCCTAATTTCCTCCTCAGATGGAAGCTGGTTTGTCTTCTCCCATATAACGCTGTTGTTTATAGTATTTTGTATAGACAACTGTTTATATATACTTCTACATTCTTGACGGTGGATGTAGTAGTTCTCCACGCTTAAGTTCCGTACAGTAGGAATATCTTGACGTTCGTATTGAAGATTCTAACTTTGAAGTTAGTTGACAGTTGTTTTGAGTCCCATATGTTCTTCAATTGAAGGAATGCGGTCCTTGATTTGCCAATCCTCACCTTTACGTCTGCATCAAATCCTCCTAGTTTATCAATGATGCTTCCCAGGTACATGAAATACTCCACCTCTTTCAGAGTTTCTCCACCAAGTGTGTTCTCCGTGTTGTATTTGAGAATCTTGCTTTTTCTTTTGTGTATGTTGAGACCTATTGATGCAGAGACTGCTGCTACATTTGTTGTCTTCGTCTGTATTTGTTCGTGTGCATGAGATAGGAGAGTTAAGTCATCTGCGAAGTCCGAACCGTCTAATTGATTTTGAGATGTCTATTGTATTCCGTGCATCCCCTCAGATGTCGAGGTCTTCATAATCCAGTCAATCACCAGAAGAAAGAGGAAGAGGGAGAGTAGACAAACTTGCCTGACTCCGATCCTTAGTGGAAATGCATCTGTCAGCTGTCCTCCATGCACGACTTTACATTGTAGTCCGTCGTATGAGTTCTGGATAATGTTGACAATCTTCTGAGGAACTCCATAGTGTCGAAGAAGTTTCCATAATGTTCTCCTGTCCATATTGTCAAACGCCTTCTCATAGTCGATGAAGTTGATGTATAGTGACGAATACCACTCAAATGATTGTTCAACGATGATCAGTAGCGTCACAATTCGGTTTGTGCACGACCCATCCACGCGGAATCCAGCTTGTTCATTTTGGAGTTGGGTGTCTACTGCATCTTTCATCCGGTTCAGCAACACTCTGTTGAAAACTTTTCCTGGTATCGACAACAGTTTGATGCCTATGTAATTCTCAACGTTTGCTCAGATCTCATTTCTTCGGTATCTTTATGAGGCGTCCTTCTTTCCAGTCTGTCAGTAGCAATTGTTCCTTCTTCCAAATCTTCCTGAATAGAAAGCGAGGCATGTTCACTGTTGCTTCAGTGTCCGACTTGAGTGCTTCAGCTGGCATATTGTCAGATCATGGTACTTTCCCACTCTTGATTTGTCTGATGTCCATCTTGACTTCTTCGATCATTGATGGAGTGACAGATATAGGAAGGTCAGTGTGTGCTACTTCGACGCCCAGTGGATTCAATGAAGCTGGCCTATTCAGCAGTTCCTTGAAGTATTCTGCCCATCTTTTCCTCTGTTCTTGAATCTCCGTGATAGTCTTTCCTTCTTTGTCCTTGACTGGTTTCTCTGGTTTACTATATCCCTCTGCAGTTTCTTCGTTGTATCATATAGTTATCTCATATTCCCTTCTCTTGCAGCTTTTTCCGCCGTTGTTGCTAATTCTCCCATGTATTTCTGCTTGTCGGCTTTAATGCTTTTCTTCACTTCCTAGTTTGCTTCTGCATTAACTTTCTCTGCATGAGATCGACTGTTGTTAATTGATAATTTCTTGTTCTTCCTTTCTTGAAACTTGTCCACGGTTCCCATAAATATCCATTCCTTATGATGGTGCTTCCTTGACCCCTTTCCAGTTGTCCTCCATCGTAGTTTCTTGTTCTTTCACTAGATCTTGTAGAGCTTGAAACCTGTTGTTCAGATTTATCTTGAATTCGTTGAGCTTATCAGTATCTCGAAGGAAAGCTGTATTGAACCTTTGTAATGCTGTTTGTGCAGTTGTCCAGTTTTTCTATAGCTTTAGTTTCATCTTGTTCACAACCAGATGTTGATCTGATGCAAAGTCAGCTCCTCTCCTGGATCTCACATATTCCATTGTCCTTCGGAATTTTTCGTTGATACAAATATAATCTATCTGGTTCTCTATGGTGTGGTTCGGTGAGAACCA